TAAATAACATTTACAATGAATGTTTATATATGCAAGTTGCATGAATGGCCACTAATTAATTGTGTTAATCAAGTTTATTAAAAAAAAAAAAAAATTAGTAATTTAGTCTCAGAAGGAGATTTAGATCTAAATCTCTTATTAATTAATTAATTTATTATTTAATTAGAAAGTTGACGATTATGATTTTCGTGAACAGAAATCTAGCTTTCTTCACGCCTTCAAAACACAATTAAAATAAATAAATAATTCATTATTACTAATTAATTTAGATTAATACTTGAACAAATCAGTCGGTGAAGCTGCAAAGCACGATTCTGGCATGTGACAATATAAAAGTTTTGATTAAAATGTACTTAATACACTATTAATAATTCAAGTTATAAAAGATTTTGAAATTCGTATCCATAAAAATATATTTTTATTGTACAGAAATCGTTTCACTTTTTAAAATAAGATAAAAAATATCAATTATAATTATAATTTATTTTAAAATAAAAATTACCGAAAAAAGTATATGTAAAATATAGATATTACCAATAAATATGATCAAATTGTTGATTTTTAATTGTTTTAATTAGTAAATAGATGCATTTTAAATACTAATAATTAGACTATGAAATGACAAAAAACAATAGAAAAAATTATAATAATTTACAAAAATAAAATATTTTTTATTTAATTTTAAAAATAAAGTAATTTTTATATTACACCATAATTTTTTTTTTTTTTTTTTTTTGGTGGCTACGAATATTTGTAAAAATATATACTTACACTTTGAACTTATCAAACAAAATTATATAATACAATGATATTTAAAAAAATAAAAAAAAAATAGTTTGTAGAACTTCAAGATCTTCCGGGGCCAAAAGAGTCACTTAGAAGTTGGTCAACATAGAATCCTTTTGTCAGTTTTACTTTAAATAAAAACTGCAGGTGCTCCTTATATCCTCCCTACTTCTATATGTTGCTTACATTCATTTGATACTCAAATATAAAATAAAAATACGTATACTTATATACATATATATATATATATATATATATATATATAAAGAAAGATCAAAACCTTCCAACAAAAGTTCAGTTATGTCAGTTTCTTCACACTCCCCCACCTTTATTTTATCTCTTTACTTTTGCTTTTCATTACTTAATTTCAACTCTCCATAGACCAAATCCTTGGAATTTGCAGCATCTCCATCGTCACTCTCATCGCACTACTCCTTTCATTTCTCATTAGAATCTCCCTCTGGTTCTTCTTCTCAAGAAGCTTAGTATAAACAGGTTTTTCCTCCTTCTATAATTCATTCATTGGTATGTTCTCCATTCTTGATTTTTACATCAGTAAAATAACTGGGTGATGCCAAAGTTTCTTTCTTTCTCTTTTATTTGCTACAAAGATTTGAACAAGATTAGATTACTTTGAGAGTGATGAACAAATGAAAGTTTCAATCTTTTTTTTCTATACAACTATCTTGTTATCTACTCAATTTCTTGTCTGTAATTCTTTCACTCCTCTAGACAATTTTCTGATTGATTGTGGAGGAAGTAACCCAGTAGTGCTTGAAGACAACAGGGTTTTTAACCCTGACAATGGAGTTTCTGATGTGGGTTTATCTCCTTCTGGTTCTCACATTGTAGTTTCCAACACTAAAATTGTATTTTCAACCTACTCAGCTCTCTACAAAACAGCAAGAGTCTTCACCAAAACTTCAAGCTACACCATCAACACAAAGCAGATTGGTCACCATTGGCTTCGACTGCATTTTTTCCCTATTCAGAATCCACATTATGATCTGAAATCTGCAGTTTTCTCAATCTTGGCTAATGAATTTACACTTGTTGATGATTTTTCCTTTTCGAAGTTGAAGAAAAATTCTCCTTTGCCAAAAGAATTTGTAGTTGAAATTGGTGATTCGACTTCGAAAGTTCCGGTGCTCATCCTCACCTTGTCTCCTTTGAATGGATCTGTTGCATTTCTTAATGGGATTGAGCTTGTGTCCATGCCAGGTGGGGAATTCATTCCTTCTATTGCTATTCCTGTTCCATTGGGGTCTGAATTTCATATCCCTGATCATTTAGCTTTGGAAACGGTTTACAGAATCAACATGGGAGGTCCATCTTTGAGTCCTAAAAATGATTCATTATGGAGGATCTGGGAACCAGATTACCCTTATCTAATCAAGGCTGCTTCTGCTAAAAATGTTGTAGTCAGTCCTAATTTGATTAAGTACGTTAATGGAGTATCAGTAGAGATTGCACCTAATTGGGTTTATGCCACAGCTCAGGAAATGGCAGATTCCAATGTCATTGATCAAAGATTCAACATTTCTTGGGAATTTACAGTTGATCCTGGTTTTTCCTACTTTATCAGGATGCATTTCTGTGACATTGTCAGTTTAGCTCTTAATAATTTGTTCTTTGATGTGTATATAAACAACCAAACTGCACTAAGCTCATTTGATATCTCTAGCAACACAATGGGGCTATCAACTGCATATTTTGTCGATTTCGTTACAAATGTTTCAACCAGATCAAATCAAATTCTTGTCCAAGTTGGTCCCTCTGACTTGAGAAATCTCCCAAGCAATGCAATCTTAAATGGTTTGGAGATCATGAAAATGAGCAATCCTTCTGCTAGTCTTGCTGGAATTCATCATGGCGGATTCGTTAGTGTCAACGACTCAAAAAACAAGTCATGGGTTTTAGTAATAGTTTCTTTGTCAGCTGGAGTTGCACTTCTACTACTCCTATCAATGACTTTAATGATCTTTTTGCGGTGGTTTAAAAAACCAAAACATCAACCCGCGGCTTGGTTTCCAATTCCAACTCATGTAGGCAATTTTGATTCCAAAGTTTCTATTCTCAGTTTCGGTTCAACAGCTCATGATTCTGCTTTAGGTCGTGTTATAGCCTTCTCAGAGATTCGTGAAGCAACCAAGAACTTCGATGAAAGCTTGGTGATTGGTGTTGGTGGGTTTGGAAAAGTCTACAAAGGAGTGCTAGAAAATGGAGTAATCGTTGCAATAAAGCGTGGCAATCCACGATCCCAACAAGGACTTAACGAATTCAGGACAGAAATTGCAATGCTATCAAGGCTAAGACACAAGCATTTGGTTTCTTTAATAGGATTCTGTGAAGAACAAAATGAAATGATCCTCGTTTACGAGTTCATGGCAGGAGGCCCTTTACGAAAACACTTATATGGAGCTAATCTTCCTCCACTTACTTGGAAACAAAGGCTTGAAATCTGCGTCGGAGCTGCCAAAGGACTACACTATCTCCACACAGGAGCAGCAGTTAGTATCATCCACCGTGATGTCAAGACAACAAATATACTTCTTGATGAAAGCCTCACTGCAAAAGTGGCTGATTTCGGATTGTCCAAGTTAGGCCCAAGTGTGGATCAAACCCATGTCAGCACAGCTGTAAAAGGAAGCTTTGGTTATCTTGATCCTGAGTACTTTCGTCGCCAGCAACTCACTGAGAAATCCGATGTCTACTCATTCGGAGTAGTACTAATGGAGGTTTTATGTGCTAGACCTGCTATAAATCCTGCATTGCCAAGGGAACAAGTGAACATTGCAGAATGGGGTATGTATTGGCAGAAGAGAGGCTTGTTAGTCAAAATCATAGATCAACACCTTGTAGGATCTGTCAGTCTCGATTCACTTAGAAAATTCGGAGAAACAGCAGAAAAGTGTCTGGCTGAACATGGGATTGAGAGGCCTACAATGGGAGATGTGTTGTGGAATTTGGAGTATGCCCTTCAATTACAAGAGTCTTCTGCACAAGATGTGTCATATGAGAACAGTGCTAATTACATTCCTGATATCCCTGATTCGATCCCGCAAATCGAATCTGTTGACAGTTGTTCAGTCGATGGGATTGGTGATCAAGATCCTCATACTTGCACATCAAGTGGTGTGTTTTCACAGCTAATGAGTCCAAGAGGAAGGTAGATTTTGCTACTGGATAAGGATTAGAACATTGATTTTTTTTAGATAAAAGTTCGAACTTGAGTCATCAAATTTTAGTAAAAGAATATAACGTTATTTGAGTTGTTTAGTTATGATTTTTTATTGTTTTGATTATTGAATTTGATATAGTCGATTTTGTCATAACGTACGGATAGATTAATCCGAAAAAGTATACGAGAATAAGAAATTGCAAATTTAATACATGAATATGGTAATGTATTTATATATATATCAATCAAATAGACCAATTTATTAATCCAACAATAAAAGGTTGGGTTTTAACTTCATAATTACAGTAAGCAACAAATTAACATTTGGTTTCATTTTTATTTTATTTTGATGTTATTTACATATATAATTTTGTAAGTTTTTGAATTTGGTTGTTAATAATTTTCATCTTAATTTTTTTTTTATTTACTCATATTCTTGAACTTGAAAAACTAAAATCTAAATATAATTTACTAATCCAATCATGATTCATATAAGACGACAAATAATGTGAGGAGAAAAGAAAACCATGAACAAATATTGGTCGGTCCATTAAGTATAAAGAACTATATACTATGTCGTTATTTTTGGAAACCCTAAATTTTGATTCAAAGATTTTTTTCATGTAATATATTTAAAATAGCGACCTAATTTATTTGTATGGTTGTGGAATTTGCATCTTATATATAATTTGTTTGGCTAAGATTAAATGATCAACACTTGATATTATAACAAGCTTGAACTTTTATTTTGTCGAAATATATTTATTGCATAATCAGATAATACATATATATTTAAAGCAGAATATATAAATTTATAATATTTTATAAACTAGGAACATAACAACCATCCAATTTTAGATTTTGTTGATCTGAAGATGTATAGTATATTTATTAATGAAGATATTAATTTATAATCACTTAATTAACCACAAAAGCTCTTTTATTCTCTCTCCCAAATATCAATACTCCACCGTTTGGATGGTTCTAATTAAAGGAGCTGTTGAGCCCTAGTGGGCCCATGGACCCACAAACCAAACCCCCAAATAAATCAAGACAACACGTTTTATTTTGAATATTCAAATGGTCGGTCAATCACCGCCCATTACCCGCTTCCACGGGATCTCCAATGGACTACACACCACATAATCATCGAGTGGGTCCCGCCACGTCAAGCTGTCGGCTATCACCCAATTCCCAAAAGCCTTCATCGTCGATTTCGCCACAGTCGCCATAGGACACGTGGCGACACCAGAACGCATTACGCGTCGCATTCTTTAGCTGTAAAGTTACCGACATGTGGCTCAAATAAAACCCCACTCCCCATTTATTCTAACATACTAACTCCATGCCCATTGTTTTTACCGGGTACCGGTATTACAGGTCAGTTGGCCGTTATTTTAGGTATATATATATATTAGGAAACCTTCTGCTGGGTGCTCAAGAAGACAGAGAACAGAAAACAATAAGCTTGTTACGAGCTTATTAGATCTCAAAAAATTTTGAGAAGCAATTAGAAAGTTTTTCAATTAAACTTTTTAAAGATGCCGATTTACAGAGTCGCTATCGGTGCACCACGAGAGCTGAGCCACCCGTCAGCCATAAGGGCAGCACTTGCAGAATTCTTCTCCATGGTTATTTTCGTTTTTGCAGGAGAAGGATCCGGCATGGCTTTCGGTAAGTTTCAATTATATAACATAAAATTATTTTTAAAAATGTTGCATTACCAATTTTTTTAAGTAAGTTTATTTGTTTATTTTGATTTTTGAACAGATAAGCTGACAAACAATGGATCAAGCACACCAGCCGGATTGGTGGCTGCATCATTGGCTCATGCATTTGCACTTTTCGTGGCGGTTTCTGTGGGCGCAAATATTTCCGGTGGCCATGTGAACCCAGCAGTCACTTTTGGTGCATTCTTGGGAGGAAACATAACTTTTTTCAGAAGCATTTTGTATTGGATTGCTCAGTTGCTTGGCTCAGTCGTGGCTTGCTTGTTGCTTAAGTTTGCAACAGGTAATATGGTAAGTAATTAGGTTAGCGTAATTGACTCTTTATTCATTTTATCAATATTGAAAACAGATTTCTCTGTTTCAAAACAGGGTATCCCTGTTTTTATGTAGAATTTAACTATTTCCAAATTTTAATTTACTGAATTCTAATGTCAATTTACAGGAAACTGCAGCATTTGGCCTATCATCTGGAGTCTCACCGATGAACGCACTTGTCTTCGAAATTGTCATGACTTTCGGCCTGGTCTACACTGTATATGCCACCGCAGTGGATCCCAAGAAAGGAAATCTGGGAACCATAGCACCAATTGCAATTGGTTTCATTGTTGGTGCCAACATTT